AAGGGCTAATGATACCTATCATAACGCCTGCCATTTGAAATAAATAAATTTTAAGCTATGAGTGCGAGATAAAAGACACGACTAGGTCAATGAGGTATATATTATGACATTTATCAGTCAACAGCACTCTTCATTTAAATTGCGTGCTCTAGTACTTCAAACCACCCACCACAAACCGATTTAAGTAACTATATCCTTGAAAGTGTAAAAAAGAATGCACTATTTCATCTTAAACCAGTGCCATCTTCAGTACATCAACAAAACATTTTGTCAATACAACCGAAAATTACAATATCGGAGCAGGTTTTTACAAAAGTCCTCAGGTCACTGGATGAAATTGCGTCACTACTAAGACTTCAAAAGTCAACAGAAAGAAACTGCAAGAGCAGGAGATGATGCTATCTTAAAATAGATGTACCTTCGATAATAAGTGCTTTATATCTCCTATGCAGATGAATCAGAGTTTTGCCAATTAAATAGTTTTAATCCGCTGTGAGCAACAATACAACTACTCACGTCCTTTAATTGAGTAGGGGCATAACAAAAGTTAACCGTACTCCGAGAACTAAGTTCCTCAAGGCCTTCAAAGTCGATAATGGAAGAGAGGGAATAAAAAGGATTAAACAGTAAAAAACACTATAATTTCAAATGACTATTCTTGATATTTTATGGTTGACATATTTATAAATAATGAATTTCATTTGCATTATAGGGAATTAAAGATCGAATCAATTGAAGTTGTCCTCTTTTACCTCAGCAGCAATCGATTTTGCACTTTATTATTATATGTAAGCCTTGCAAGGTCACAAACAGAATAGTTACAAAGCGACTTCCTAAATAGAACTCCAAATTTACAAAAAGTAAGAGCGAAACATATCACTTTATCTGTTCACTATTAACGACCATGGATCATTACAGTCGTATCGACGTAAACACAATCAAGATCAAACCCACTAAACTGAAGAATCCAAACTCCATGGTAAATTTTGTCCTCTTCTACCAACTATGAAATCCAAAGCTCTACAAACGACTGAGGTTCCACCACCCAATCTTTTAAACTTAGTAAGGTTCGAGCAAGATTTCACTTCTGTTTTGGCTTCAAGTAAATTTGACTAGCATGTGAAATGAGGGTTAGTAAAAGTGCAAATGAAAATAAGCCTCCTTTGTTGCTAGGCTTCAAAAGGGGAGAATTATCTCACATATTGCGAGCCAAGACCGTTTCTTTAGACAGGGACTAAAAAATGTAATTATTACATTTTAGGACTGAAAGGCTCAATTCCTTTCCAACTTTTAGCTTTTATACAAAACATGATCTAATCTTAAAATATCTGATTTACAAAATAGGGAATTACTTCTCAATATAGATGCTGGTTGCTTTTGGCTTCGTACCCACACATCTTTCTCACTTATCTTGGCATTAATCAGCCTATAATTACACTTTTATCATGTTTGCACAAATTCACTGAGTCATATCGATTGTGACGCACGAGAGCTAAACTAAAGTATTGATTTATTTATTTCAGGGGGATGCATTGTCCCGGCGCAAAGACATAATGTGTATTTCTTTTCGTTGAGCTTCAGAAAATGAAAGAAAGATACCCGAATAAAGAGTACCTTGAAATCAATTTCTAAAAAAACTTTGGTAAAAAAGAATGTACCCATCGACCTATGCACAAAACTGGGAGAAAAAATGAAGATCAAGAAGTAATAATGAGGAAGAGAAAACTTGCTAAGATATTTCCCTTCCAAATTTATAAACTCCACTGCAATAAAGGACGATATAGTTTGAGTAAGATTAAAGTACAAGATTTTGATATCTTAATTAAAAAAATTACGATTTAGCAAGAGAACAAAGCTAGAAAAACTCAAGAGTTAAATGGATCAGGGAAATTGATAATTAGCACGAGGCTGAGAAATGGCCCATTCGTAGAAAGTGAAGGTCGAAAACTGGACTAAATGGATAAGCGTCAATGGGAAGGCTACTAGGTCGCAACAAAATTCTTGATCCAACTGGAAACTCATTTGCTAGAAAATTAGTCATGTATTTCTTGGAGTGGAATAAGATTATGTAAAAGAAGGAATGAGTGATTGAGTAGCAGAACATTGAAACTTAGTTAAAATAGTATTCTTCCTCTAATGGAAACATTTTCCAAAAGTCAGTAATTCAGGATCTCCATTCTTCAAAAACCAAGACCAAGAAACTGTTTTTTTCTCTAAAAATTCATTTGCCCATCACTGGAGGAAATAAAACGCAACCCAGGCAACCAGTGGATTGTGGTTCTCTTGATCTGCAGTAGACTTATCAAAGTTGATAAAACTGTGTTGTAATAGCACTTGCTGTTATTACAAATCCACTTGTTAGTACCGTTGTGTGCTTAGTAAAGTATTCCGGAATCGTGGAAAAAAGGTCTCGTTGATACTTTATATGAATAGAGTTAATCTTTGTAAAGAAATTAGGCTAATTCAAGATTTTTTCAAAAATTTGCCATGGTTTTGTCTTTATTGAGAACAGATTTTTCGATAGAGCCCAGGTATACGTGGGGATAAGCGATATTAAATGATAAGAGCCAGCACTCGTGACCTTGAATGTCGTCTATTCTGTCAACCAGAACTGTGTGCAATTCGGCAGAACCAGAAAGTGACTTTCCCGAAAGGAAATTAAGCATGAGTAACTGGGGTATGTAAAATTAAATTTTTGGTTTCAACTTTTTTAAACGTAAAATTAATGAAAGAGAAGATTATGCTAATCTTAAATTAGAGGTAAATTTGCTCTGACCTTTGTTATTATTGGCTGCATGGATACATTTTCGATTTATTATTCTGAATGCAGTCCGCATATAAAGCTTCCAATCGGATTTGCCCATAATCCCAAAGACATCTGTTTAACAGATTTATTCAACCCGATTTCTCACGCCAGAATTAGCAAAAGGAACCAGAAATTCATTAATTCAGTCTCCTTTTTATGGTTAAGGAAATTACAAATTTGTAACGGAAAACTGATGTCATCGACGACTGAGGTTACATACAAACTGAAAATGTGTAATTTATTACTTAACAGGTTTATTTAAGGAACACTGAAAGTCATTAGTAATGTTGATTTGTCGCGTATTTGCAAAGTGATAGAATGTATAAATTAATGTTGAGAAAAATCTATATCCAAAAAAGCACGTACTTCAATAGAAAATGTGGTTTAGATAGGTGAGAGGTACACCTTGAAATGAGGTTTTAGTATTTACCTATCTGAATTTTACTGTCAAATTAAACGCAGAACAACGAGGGTGTGATTGATATCGCTTTAAAATAATTCAAGGATTACTAAACATTTTGAAAAAGAAAATAGTGAAAACAATTCAAATTAGAGTTTATATGGGGACAACGTCCGGGAATAGACCAATCCTATCAGAATCTTGCATAGTTGAGTAGCATATTTTCGACTTCATATGCAAAAACTGAAGTAGCTGATAGTAACTCTTCTTCAGTGAAAGGAATCGTAACAATTTCGTTTAATTGAACCAATTATAAAAGCCACAAATTTACAATTTGATAACAATGAAATTTGTAGCTAGCTAATAAGGCGCAGGATCATAAATTCATTTAATGTGATGCGAATTTTGGAAAAGGAATTCATTTTTTGGGTATATTTAGAAACAATTCTTAGCTCATATTTAATTTATTTCATCCAGTTTGCAACGCCATTCACTGTTATTATTCATATTACGGGTAGGAAACTGTATATCAATATCTAAGATACATATAGCGCCTATATTCTTAACTTTGCATTAAAAGAGTAGACAAAAATCCCGCTTAGTAGGCACAAGAATACCTCGGCAATCATGTCCCTTTCAAATAAAACGACCCCACTCTGCCTCTATTGCTCTTTTCTAATCTGGGGTGCTTAAGTCGGTACTAAATTAAACAAAATTTGATCTCAAATGGCAGTAATGCAAAATAAAATGCTATGGTTATTGTAATAAACTTTGAAGTTGAAATGTATTTAAATTTTCAGTATTTTTTGACCATTCCATAACTTAAATGGCAATTTTTGTAATAGATAAAAGACTAACAAGGCACCACAATCTGAACACTAACTTTCGTGATTAATGACTCTATTACCTCAAATACCTCCTCACCTTAGTTATCAAAGACGTAATGATTCAACTATATCAGGGAAAAATTCTGTCAATAGTTGTGTCTGACAATAGCATGTAACCCAAAAAACTCATTCGTTAAATGCATCGAGAATCGAAGTATGATATTTTGAAAGTCAAAGAATGCCTTTCATTATATAATTTTTACAAGTTTGTTACATCTGACCATTCACTGGACAAGATAAGGAAAACTATGTAGCGTTAGGAAAAAGCTGTTAAATTTCAGTTTAATTGTTGATGACCTGAGAATTTTAGGCGTCCAAATGTAGAAACCAGCATAAATAAACAATAAATTTGATAATCGCGAATGTGAAAACTGAGTTGGTAATAGTAAATTATACTGATTTATTTTTCCTCCGAATACCAGAATAAATATATAATATAAAATAAACCAGGATAATGTCTAAAATTTTGCTTTTTACTTAGTTATTTAATTACAGCTTGCCAGAATTCAGAAATTAAAATTCTATTCACCTGAATGAATATTTTGTATTCAAAAAGTTTCAATTACACAATTGAAATATTTCGGCAAAAAATGGAATTGATTTTTCTAATGTTTGATATTCAAGCAAAACTTTATTCATTTTTAATTATGCTGAATTCAACGTGGCAGATAACCAAGCAGCCTTCAAAAAATATGATCAATTTAGCTAATATTTCTTATATAATAAATTTTTATAGATAAATTAAAACGAAAGAAATGTAAAATATAACGAATATTCAAATTTAACCGCAATTATATCTTATAAATGCAATTCCACCATTACTGCTTAATAGTTTATCTGTACCAAATAACCTAAATAATTGGTCTAGAATCACCGTTTTCGGCGTGCATTTTTCCGTTTCTCGAGGATGCTCCGTCATATTATTAACCAGAAAAGCGTCGTAAGTCATGGAAATAATTATGTAATATTTAGACTTCTATCTTGAAATCTGCTTCGGGATGCTTCTCATCCGCCCCAAAAGGTCATGTTATTGGTATTGATCTTGGGACCACCAACTCATGCGTTGCGGTGATGGAGGGTAAGACGCCCAAAATTCTTGAAAATGCTGAGGGTGCTCGTACAACTCCTTCAGTCGTTGCTTTCACTTCGGAAGGCGAACGTTTGGTTGGTGCACCAGCCAAGCGTCAAGCCGTCACGAATTCCAAGAACACATTGTATGCCACTAAGCGTCTGATCGGTCGCCGTTATGATGACCCTGAGGTACAAAAGGAGAAGAAGAATGCTTCTTTCTCAATTATTAAGGCTGCAAATGGCGATGCCTGGGTTGAAGCCCATGGCAAGGCTTACTCACCAAGCCAGGTCGGTGCATTTGTGCTGATGAAAATGAAGGAAACAGCTGGTGAGTTTTGCGCTTATTATTAATTATTCCTCTTCGCTTTCTAGAAAACTACTTGGGAACTAAGGTCAATAATGCTGTCATTACTGTCCCTGCGTATTTCAATGATTCACAACGCCAAGCTACCAAAGATGCTGGTCAAATCGCTGGGCTAAACGTACTTCGTGTCATCAATGAACCTACAGCTGCTGCTCTTGCTTATGGTTTAGATCGTGTGGAAGACAAGACGTAAGTTGGAACATTCTTAAGCTAACTTCTCTTCTAGCATTGCTGTTTACGATTTGGGTGGTGGTACGTTCGATATCTCTCTTCTTGAAATCCAGAAGGGGGTCTTCGAAGTTAAGTCTACAAATGGTGACACTTTTTTGGGTGGCGAAGACTTCGATCAAGTTCTGCTGAATCACCTTGTTGAGGAATTCAAAAAGGAGCAGGGAATCGATATCACCAAAGACCCTATGGCCCTCCAACGTGTTCGAGAAGCAGCTGAGAAAGCTAAGGTGGAACTTTCTTCTTCCATTCAAACTGACATTAATCTTCCCTACCTCACCATGGATCAGAGTGGACCTAAGCACATGAACATGAAGCTCTCGCGTTCCAAGCTCGAATCCCTTGTTGATTCTCTCATTAAGAGAACTATTGGTCCATGCGAGAAGGCTATGAAGGATGCTGGTGTTAAGGCCTCTGATGTTGGGGACGTTATTTTAGTCGGTGGTATGTCTCGTATGCCGAAGGTTCAGGAAACTGTTCGTAAGATTTTCGGAAAGACCCCAAGCAAGAATGTCAATCCTGATGAGGCTGTTGCTATGGGAGCAGCTATCCAGGTACTTACCTTAATTTCTAGATCACCAAATAGTTTTTGACCTTGTTGAGAATTTTTTACATTTCTTTTAGGGTGGTGTATTAGCTGGTGATGTCACGGATGTGTTGCTTCTTGATGTTACTCCTCTTTCTCTCGGTATTGAAACCCTCGGTGGAGTGTTTACAAAGCTTATTAACCGAAACACAACCATCCCAACCAAGAAATCGCAAGTGTTTTCCACGGCTGCCGATGGTCAAACTCAGGTCGAGATTAAAGTATACCAAGGCGAACGTGAGATGGCCATGGATAACAAACTTCTTGGTCGCTTCTCTCTTGTTGGTATTCCACCTGCTCCTCGTGGTGTACCACAAATTGAAGTCACTTTTGATATCGACGCCAACGGTATTGTGAATGTTTCTGCTAGAGATAAGGGTACTGGTAAGGAACAGCAAATTGTTATTCAGTCCAGTGGTGGTTTGAGCAAGGATGAGATTGAGAATATGGTGAGAAATGCAGAGCAGTATGCAGCTGCTGATAAAGAACGTCGTGATATGGTTGAGGCTATTAATCACGCCGAAGGAATTGCCCATGACACCGAGAGCAAGATGGAAGAATACAAGGAACATCTTCCACAAGAAGAACGTGAGAAGCTCACAAAGCAGATTGCTGAACTCCGCGAGACCTTGAACAACAAAGATAATTTGACCGCTGAGGGATTAAAGAAGGCCACCGATGATTTGCAGCAATCTTCTCTCAAGCTGTTTGAGATTGCATACAAGAAGATGGCTGAAAGCCGTAACTCAGGTAGTAGTGGAAGCAATGAGAACAAGGAATCCAACCAACAATAGACTTGACAGTTCTTCACTTTATCACTGTCTCCTTCCGCCCCTTATCGCGCGATTCTCATTATTAAATTTTGTAATAGTTTTTAGTTTAATCGTGTGAGTTGTAAATAGATATTTTAATAATTAAACATTGTCATTCCATCAGTATATCGTTTTCTCGAATATTTCACTGTTCTTGAAGATTCCGGTCTTCAGAAGTAAGTGTGCACTTTATACTTATTTTATTAGTGCGTTTGTCGGAAGTTCAATTTATTTAGGAGTCTAGTGCTATTAGTCAGCATTCAATCACTAGCTTTCAAGGCGCGATGTTAACTGGATGGAAGTGGTAAGAAGAAATATGGCAACGAAGTCGACTTAACGATCGGTCCGGGCATAATTCGATGGGATAGTTAAGATTAGCTCTGTATGGTCCTGCAATATGTTGAGGCTGTTGTCACGTCGATTTTTAGGTGTAATATCGAAGGCAATGGCGCGATCAGCAATAATTTGCATCTCCAGTGCACATGCATTTACTGTAGTCTAATTCCGGGAACCCTTCCAAAACTAGGGTAGCTTGCCATTGTCGTTCATTGACTGGCATTAGTTGATGCGATTTGATTTTAGAATCACGGGAAGCAAAGTGATGCTTTTAGTAAACTATAATATTATTCTTTTCTCGCTTTTAAAGCAAACTAAATCAATACTGGAAATTCTCATCAAAAGGCTTAACTGAAATATAATCCATCATTTGAACGTAGTCAATTCAAGTGGAGTTTAGCTTGCGGCATTACCATGCAATCATCTTTCAGATTACAGGATGCTGTTATTAAAGTATATTCTCTGTTCCATATATTTAACTCAACCTGATAAACGAATATTCCCGAGGATCAATAAAAACGCCTAAAATGTACCTATCATTCAAGATGACTTTATGAATTAGCTTAATCTGCTAGTAAGAAGAAGGTCTGGTGAAAATGAAAAAGGAACACAATCCGCCAGCTTCGAAACGAAGTGTGGACGAAGATAATAGTGCCTTGATCTGAAATCCAATGCCTAACCAATCAGAATGATGGGCCTTTTGACTAACCAACTCGATGTGAATCTAAGTGGTCTTGGTTGGCCGGATAAGCTGAAGCTCATCTCCATGGTTATTAAATTATTACCTTGAGGTAATTTTTGCAGAGCGCCGAACTGAAGTTGAATGCAATAGAGAAGACGGAGAAGGGAAACGTTAAATCAAACACAAAGTTTAATGCAGTATTCAATTCAAGATGTTCGAGGCGAAAGCCCCAAATACAAAAAACCTCAAGTTTATCGAACAAGGTGAAGGAGCAATATGACATAGAATCGCTTGCTTTTCAGAGCAAATAATGTATTTACTATAAATAACATGGAAGATCGTGCAATTCTTATTATCTAGTTTTGGGAACTAGTTTATTCACTTCAAAATTAAAACGCATACACGAATAGGTGAAAAATTAATCCACAAAGGAGGAAGAGGATTGTAAAATTAAACAAAAAATAGTCATACCTTAGATTTTAGCCATTGAGCCATTGAAAAATGAACTAAAGTGTCTTTAATTTAAGGTGAAGAGAAAATTAGAAAAATATATCGATCTCTATCACGCGGAATATGACTAGATTATGGCTTAATTCAATTTCGCAAATTTAATCTACTTGGAATGTAAAACCTAATTAAGCAAAGCCGAGTTCAAAGGTTTGCGTTTCCAATAAACTCAGTACACCAAAATCCTAATACATAACAATATAATCGTTTCAGATTTGCAGAAACATTTTTTTTAAATAGAATGCTTTTCTTTAGTACCCCACTTGCAAAAGTATTTGTTAAGTAAGAAAAGTTGTCAATAAATCAAGCCACTATTTCTGTTTGTAATATCAATCAACGTGTATTATTGATAAAGCAGTATTGACCAAGACTTGTTGTATCACCAGGAAATTGGGCGACAGAAATTAGATTGAATCAATACCATGAAAGGGCAACAATTATAGACGGAAGGTGTGTGATGTTACTTGCTAGAATCAACAATCCGATCCATAAGTATCAATTCCATAAGTTAAAAAGATTAAAAAGTGAAGCATTCGTTCCCATTATCGCTGTTGTTCTTGAAATAATTGGTATACTAATTCATACCACTAGAGAACATACGCATTAATGTAAGGTCAGGCGGGTAACCCAAGAGTTGATATTTTATTGATAAAGCATTCAGGCTGAATGTTGCCATATGACTGTCATAATGTTTACCAACTAATGGCAGCCTTTGTACTGAAAATTCAGAAAAATCCGAGGTTACGCGATGAATGGTAGGATTTGAAGATTGGTTTTGCGACTAACTACTAACGAAATGTGGGGGAATGGCAATGAATATCAACCAAAAATAAGGAAAACACCAACCAAATATTACAGAGATACCCGCATTTCAATCTAACGTTAAGCGCTATTGGTGCCTGTTATGGAATCATCTCTGTTGATAAGCAAAATGTATCACAGAAAAGTATTTGAGAATGAGTAATGATAAGACGTCAAAACTAATAATCATCAAAGGGGGTCAGATTAAGGGTATTGAAATTTACACAGACGAAAATTACTAAGCGTAGACCTAAACGATCTGCCATGATTGATGGCTAAAAAACAGTAGGAATATGTACGTACTTTTTGGATTTGCAAAGTGGAATAGTTTTCTAGGCCTCTCTAAAACTCTACAGCGGTGTGAGTGACATGAATTATCATTTCCCAGACACACAGCAATATAGCTTTTTGTGGAGCTTATTTCGAGCAAATATTTCATTTTTCGTCTTGGTGTTCAGTGGCATGTTTTGATATATAGCTAGGACTAACAAGGCATATTGTTAAAAGCCTTTAGAAAATCCAGGTTTCACCTTCATAACCAATTCAAATTACAAATTTCTTTATGGGTTAGGAATAGGCTAAAAATGCATTCTATGAAATTCATATTCGATCTTGAGTTCTTTGAATACTTATAATGCGTATTTAAAATCTGATGCCTTGTTAACTAGCTTTTTAACCGAATAATAAATAAAGTTTACCTGAGGAGAAGTTTAATCCGAATATGCACGAAGTAAATTTCTAAATGAACGTATGGGAGTTTAGACCGATAGAACAGCAAAGCTTTATATTCAACTTTTAAGAAACCATTTTATGTAAAATTTTCATACTCAAGAATGTTTTAAATGATAAAAATATTCTTTTTAAGTGTATTTCCATGTTTTAGTGAATTAAAATGAATCAACACCCCAAAGATTACCCAAGCAAAAAAAAGCCGCAAACAAATATGAATAATAATAGTCAAATAGCATTAAAAAGCTTCAAGGCTTTAATAAAATTCTTCAAAAAGTCACATTCATTTCATAAATTGAATACTTTTATCAAAGATGTTTATTTGTTTCAACTTATCAGTTAGCATCAGTTGATTTCAGGCGGATATTCATCCACAAAAATTTTCTTTTCCAATGGCCTCCCAAAGTCCTCAGGTAAGTAGAGTTCCTCGTAGTAGGTTTTTCATACGAAGATCTAACTGATTTATTTCAAAGAAAATCACAATTGACACCAAATCCTGCGGTCCCCTTACTGCATACCTTCACGTAAATATACTATATTAAGTTATAAACTTAAATAGGGAGGTCGTGTAGGAAAGGACGTTGCTGTTCTAACTCTTCATGATCTCGGATGTAACTGTAAGTTATGTTTATCGACTAGTAATATACTTAGTTAAAGAATTTTACGACTTTGCTAACCATGACCACATGATCCAGCTCACCCAACGAATATTCTGGATACACATTGAAGTTCCCGGCCAGGGTGATAATGAACCCGATCTTCCCTCTGAGTAAGAAAGAGCATCTTTATTTTTATCAATGATTTAGTTGGAAATTTCCAACCATGCAGAAGATCGCTGAAGGCATTGCTGAACTCTGCGACAGTTTGGAATTGAAACATTTTGTTGTTATTGGTGATGGTGCCGGCGCAAACATTCTTGCTCGTGTTGCTGTAAAGCTATCTCCATTTTATTCTTTACACATTTTTACCATCTTTTAATTCTAGATGCTTCGTACAGATATTTGCCTTGGTGCAATTCTTATCCACTGTACAGGAACAACTGCCGGTTTCATGGAATCATTTCGTGATCGCGTAAATTATGAGAAAATCTATATTATATATAGATATATATATATATATATATTTCTTTTTGCCTATATAATCGCATGTTCGAAATTCATTTGGTTTGATAGATGAACTCATGGAAACTTAAATCAATTGGTATGAATCCAAGTGTTGAAAACTACCTTATGCTCCATCGTTTTGGCATTGTAAGTTTCGCTAATTTTTGAATACTTTTGCCGCACTTTCTTTATTTAATTTGTATTTATATTTTTAGGATGACCCAAACGTAAGTTTTTGATCAATTCCTGGCCGTTTGATTTAACTTTGATTATCACTAATTTATTATTATTATTTTAGTTCATTAATGCTACAACTGAGGCTGAGCTCCGCACAGCTATCAGTAATTTCCTTCAAAATCTTCGTGAAAAGATCAATCCCAAGAATCTGAACAAATTTATTCAGGCGTTCATGGTGTACGTGAAATATGAAAAATGCACTTTGAATTTTATTAGACGAAAAAGATTAACTGAAGATATTAATTAAATTTAGTCGAACCAACATTACTGAGTCGATTGGAAACATGAAGTAAGTTGTTGGGATGCGGTTAAACTAACTTTAGCGCTAGAATATTTTTAATGATGTGTAAATATTTTTAAAAAATTTTAGGTGCCCTGTTCTATTCATCACTGGCTCAGTGGCATCTTTCAATCACACCGTCTACACTCTTTACAATGCTCTGATGCATTCCTTGAAAGATGAACCTTCTCGAAAAGCTGACGTTGAAATTCTTGAGATTGACGGAGTCGCCAACGTCATGCGTGAGAGGGTAGGTGTAACATTTATTTAATTTTGCACTTCAAATAGTGAAAATATTATTATTATTATTATTCAACCACGTATTCCAATTGAGAATTTGTAAGAATAAATATGAGCGAAATTTTATTTTATTTGCAGCCCGAGAAGGTGGCTGAGTCGGTTCAAAACTTTATGCAAGGTTTGGGCATCGGTGAGCAACATTTTGTTTTTCTAATCACATCAAAAGAATAAAATTAAAGTTATGAAAAAAAAATAAGAAAATGCGGATGGAAATGAGAGCTAAAACCATATTTTATTCATTATGTAAAAGGTGACTTCCAAGTTACTGTGTGCCAATTTAGCAACGAATTCATTTTGGAATTTAACGATTGTTTTGAACAAACGATTTGAAATTTTTAAATATATTCTATAAATGTTCTAGTAGATAATACTTGAAGATGTGCAATTTCACAACTTTGCAAATGCTAAGTTGTATGCTTCAAAATGGACGAAGTTAGTAAACCGCGTGTTCGTGTGTCTGACATGTTGCCCCCCCCCCTCCCCGACTGCTAGCAGGTGGTTCGCGGTCGGCCATAAAACTGCCAACCACAACTTTCGTGCCACTGGGAGAAATTTCAGTTTGAACGTGCCTAACGAGGTTACATCAAAATTTATCAGTAAAGTCCCCACAAAACCCCAAATCCGTACCGCTTCCAATTAAAAGATATAATTAGCCATTGCATTTTGTTAATTTCCTTTTGAAGTCAATCGTCCACAGAATCGCAAAGTTGTTAATAGTTGATCAAATATGGAAAACAACAGTTCAGATAACATGGAGTTTATCCGTTAATTAAAACGAAGTAATTTTATTATAAACATCAATTTTTGTATCATCTGCCTATTGATCTGCGTTTTATGCGGTACTTCATATTATTGACGATTGAATCGATTCCTTTTATTCCTCCAGCTGGTGGAGTTGTGAATAGACGCCTTAGCTCAACTGGAAGTGTACCAAAGAACCGCAATCGTTCAGCTTCTATGGATGAGTATGATCAACCAATTGGAGTTAAGAACCTCATTTATGACAACTCACGTCGCTACTCCAAGGCGACCGATTTTCCGGGAAGCATCTCGGAAACAGGAGAAAACTGAGGCACCAAGGCCTTAGAAATCTTCTTCATCATTATCATCATCAAAATGGTCTACGGGACAGCTCAATCTAATATCTCTACCATCAGCACACCATTCCCAAAAGTAAAACATCTAAATCAACATATTTATAACAATTTGCCTCTAGGATAAACGTATTCCCCCCCCCCCTCCCCTCCTCCTCCTCCCCCCATAGTAGATGCACAGCAAACTAAGGCGAATAATTCGGCGATTTGGTTATTTCAACTTTTCTCTCTTTTTCATCCTCCTTTCCTATCCTTTCCCTCCTTCTCCCTCTTCCCGCCCCCCCCCCCAATTCTTTGAACTACTTTTTTTGCTGATTTGGTACACCATTCGTAATAGTTTTTTGTGCGCTTTAAGCCTGATCTCAATCACTCAATTAGTATGATTGAATAAA